CGGCAGGGGCCCGATCCTGCCCCCACCCGGCTCCCGAGGCTGCGGCTCCTCCCAGGCAGCGCGGGGGACAGAGGCGGGTGGCAGGGGGGCGCCGGGGGCAAGCGGACGGGGGCGGGGCGGGGCCGAGGCTCATGAATGACTCACGGGGGGTGACGTCATGGAGGTGCGAGGTTTCCCTGGTAACGACACAGGGCCCCGTGGGAGCGGGCGGAGCAGGATAGCTGGGGACTGGGACCAGTATAGCTGAGTGAATGGGAACTGTTAGTGTTTGTGTGTGGGGTCGGGGGTAACTGGGACCAGAATGACTCGTGGGGGTGGGGGCATGGCTCCGGCCAGTATAGCTAACGAACCAGTAAGGGATAGTAACTGGGACCAGTAAGGGGGCTGGTACGAGTATAGCTGGGTAACTGGGGCCCATAAGTAGGGCGGGGGGGGCGATAAATGGGATCAGTATAGTTCGGTAAGTGGGGTCAGTAATAAAGGGGCAATTGGTATCAGTAAGTGAGGAGTAATTTAGACCAGTATAGCTGGGTAATTGGGACCAGTAAGGCGGGGGTAAGTGGGAGCAGTGCAGCTAGGTAACAGCTGGGGGCAAGGGTAACTGGTACCAGTATAGCTGGGTGGGTGGGACCCCAGGGGCAGCTGCACCTCAGCCTGCGCTGCGCTGTGTTTGGAGCTGGCTCTTGTGCAGCTGCCGCACCCCAGAGCTGGGCACATCTCCCGCCCTGAGTCCGGCTTGTACCTGGAGCCACAGGTGCCAAGGGTTGGGGGGGCTCGGGGGGCTCATCCCGCCAAGCTCCAGCTCCATCAGCGCAGCCAGGGCTCGGCTCCCTGGGGCTTCCTCCTGTCCCAGTGCGGCTCCCCTGCTCTCCCTCATCGCCAGCCTCAACTTGCCCAGCTGCAGCTGGAGCCCATTGATCCTTGTCTTGTCACTTGCCCCCTTGGGGGACAATGCAAGTCTGGAGTGCCCTCCAGACTGCCATCCAACCCCCACTTTGCAGTCACCCAGGGCCTCTCCCAATTGCCACAACGGTGCTGGCAGCGACTCTGCAATCACATTGCCCAGCCTCCCGCCTGGCCCCGTGGCTTGTGCATGGCCACCTTTCCTGGGCGATCCCTGACCTGTTCTCTCAGCACCAAGGGCTGCTCCCTCCTGCCCGCGAGGTGCTGCCCTGGCCCGTGATGTCCCAGGCGAAAAAGGCATCGAGCACTTCAGCCTCCTCTGCCTCCTCCGTCACCAGGGACCAACCTCCAAGGGAAGTGGCGCTGGCTCCTACCCCGGGGGTCTTTAAGAGGGGGCTGGACGATTACCTAGTTGGGGTCACTTGAGCCCAGTTTTCCTCCTGCCCAGGCAGGGGGCGGACTAGAAGATCTGCTAGGTCCCTTCCGACCCTGCAGCTATGACTGCCCAGTACAGGATGGTAACGGGCCAGTAACACGGGTTCCCTTCTCCAGTCAGTATGGACCCACTTCTTTTGAGCAGCCTCGTGTACCAACGTCCTTGTAGAAACCTCCTCGTTGCCCTGCACAGCCCACCATGCTCGACCTGCCCGACTGCATCCCTGCTTGCCCCGGCCACGCTCTTACACTCCTCCTTTCTTTCTCCTCCCGGTTTCCTCTTCTTCCAAGCTTCTTTTCTGTGAGGTATTTTACTGAGGCGCTCCCTGCTGAGCCCAGCTGGGCTCTGCCGGGCTCGCTCGTCCTCCTGCACACCGGGGCAGTTGTTCCTGCGCTCTCAGGAAGGCTTTGTTCAGCACAGCCAGCTCCCCTGGTCTCTTCCCGTCAGCCCCCAAGCGACTTTGAGTCCGCTGGGCTGTGCCCAGCTCTCCCACTTTTCCCGTGGCTTTGTGCCCACGAAGCTGCTGCTCTGGGGTAGCCTGGCCCCGGCTCCACTGGCCTGTCTGCCAAGCCCCCTGCCTGCCGGCCCACGGCTTGGGAACTCTATGATGCTGGGTCAGCTGGACACCTCCCCCCGCATGGCCTTGCTACGAGGAAGCGCCTCTCGTCCCATTGCTACCTCCCATGGGAAAATCCCAGGGATCCCACTGTGCCACCAGTGAGGAAGCTCCTCTCATCTCGGCGTTCCCACCCATGACCTCGCTCCTGCTTCCCTCTCCCCACCAGCTCGTGCATCAGGAAGCTCCTCTCATCCCACGGCTACCACCAATGCTGTCCCTCCTGCACCCCAAGCCCCCCAGCTCCCACCAACGGGGTGGCTTCTCTCACCCTCCCATTAACACCTGGAGGACCCCTGGCCCGGCAGCTGGGGTGAGGCCTGCGGCGCCCCCCCAACCGCCCGGGGGCCTCCTTGCGCCCGGCCACCCACAACGCCAGGCTCCGCGCCCACCTGCCCCGTGCGGATGATGCCCAGCAGGGAGGTGTGCTGGGGGGCGGGGGGCTGGCCCTGTGGGTGTGCAGCCTGTGAGGGGCCCCAGAGCATCCTGGGAAGGGCCTTGGGGGTGGGGAATTGTGGTAACACTCTCCTAACACTCTCTCCCTCTGCCCTAGGGGATTCTGGGACATGCCCCACACAGGAGCAGATGGAACCAGGACCCAGCACCGCCAGTGCCCCAGAGGATTCTGGGAATGTGGCTCACTACCTCCAGGAGTGTGGGGCTCTGCCTCGCCCCTGCCCGCAAGCTTGGCCCAAACTGAGGCCTGCCCCAGAGGATGCTGGGAAGAGTGCTGGGGTCAGAGGTGGGAGGGGGCCTGGGACCAGTCTGTAACACCCCCATGACTGCAACAACCCCTGGCACCGTGACATGACGAATAAAGGTTTAATTTTCAACAGCTGGACTGGGCGCCGCGCCAGGGGAAACGCAGGAATG